GATGTTACCGCCTATCTCCCAAGGCACTGGAACAAGCTGTGGAAGCCACAGTGGGGGGTTCCCTTTTAAACATTAAATCAATGTGCAGCATCTGTCAAAATCCTTGAAAGCCACAGGCAGTGAAGCCAAATTCCAGACTGCCAACTCAGCAGGGGCCGCAGGAGAAACCTGTGCATTCAGCATCTGAGTTTGGCTTATTAGCTGTCACTGGCCGGCAACCGTTTAGCGGCTCTTCAGTCAGAACTCGGGGAGCAGGAGATGTCTTCGTGCTCCGTCTGTTCTTTCCCCACTCTTGGAAGGGGTGCAGCCCACCCTTATTAGGACTGATTTCCTGACTTGGCGTTTTGGTGCAACTGAGAGGCAGCTCTGGAGACTTGTTAACACAAGCGACCTTTGGCCCTGATTACAAATACCGTCTCCCTCCGCCTCTGTTTCGAATGCTAAAATGTTTCCAGGAATGGATCTGGCATGGATCAGCTACTTGGAAGAGGAAGGGAAGGGAGATTGCTGTCGACAAAGAGCCATGGCTGAGGAAGGCCAGCTCTGGCTTTCAGAGCCCTTTTGCTCTGCAGCTTCGCAACCATGCCAGGGCCGATTACTAGTCCACACGGGGCAGATTGCAAGGGTATCTCTGCCTGCAGGAGGTTCTGGGGCTTAGTGAACCAAACAGATGTCCGAAGAAGGCAAAAGTGGGTTCGATGTGCGCGCATATTGCAACCAACCTTTCTTTAATGTGCAAAATGCTTTCTCCTAAATGGAGGGATGAATGACCATTCATGCTCCTTTTTATTTTTGATCCTATAGAGGGGACTTGGTTTCCTTACCTTCTGTGACCTCTCCCTGACTATAATTTTTAGAAGGCTACAGAGGGCTTTGCATGTTTAACACAAGGAGTGAGGCAATAGCAAGGCAGTTGTAGATTGTATGAAGCACCTCCTCACTTCCCCCCAAAATTCAAGCACCAAGTCCTGCTCTGAAAATAGGAGGAGAAATCCAAATCTCTCTATTCACCTTTAGGATACCAGGGCAGCGGCAAAAGAAAATACCTGTGTGAGGGCCAAATTTGGTCAGTTCAAACAGTTTTAAATAAATGTGCTTGCGAGCGACTATTTGCAGAAAATGGCACCGTGGAGGGCAAGTAGCACCTTTTGCAAGGAACTATTTTTGGCAGCAAAACAGTGTGAAGGAACAGTGCGGGCTGGATGTTGTGTGGGCGCAGCTGCTTTTTCTATAGCAAGAGGCCTGGCTGGTTTTCACCACATTCAATGTAATTTTCACCTAATGTCCATCATGGTCAGAAAATTGCTGGAAAGGTTATCCCATGAGCCTGTGTATTGTTACACTTTTGAATCGGAGCGTGTGAAGCTGTCTGATACTGCCTCAGTAGACGGAACCGTCTGGATACCAGATGCTGAACCACGACTCCCTTTGGTCCTTAATGTTGCCTATGTAGTCTGGGGCTGGTGGGAGTTGTAGTCCCACGGCATCAGGAGGGCCACGCATTGCCCCATCCAGGTAAACCTTGAATGGCAGTATCTTTCCAGGGTTTCATACAAGAGCCTTTCCCAGGCATATCTGGGCATGTCCATACTGGTGCTTCCTGCGTACGAAGCAAACGTTTGAGAAGTGACTGATGATTGGTCCCTACTATACATTATGTATGTTTTTGATTGATTGAGTGCATGATAATATTCATCAGCACCAAGAGAGGAGAGATTCTAAGCAAAGCAAGGATGCTTCTGCTGATCTGCTTGTCCTTTTGCTACGGCCCTGTGGAGTAGTGACCCTTCGGTGTTGAGACACCCGACTGGTCAAAAGGCAGAGGTGTGGCAAGAACACAGGAGAAGGTTCTAGTCCAATTGATTGGCATGCAGGTTCCACGGCAGTTGGAGGCTCCTGGGGCAAGACAGAAGGGAGCCTCTACCAAACCAGACCAAGATGATTGAGATTGCTTTGTGAGGGAAGCAGTTGACTTGCATTTTCCTATTTGCACTGAATTATTGCTGCGCAAGTCACAGCCGTTGGTGTCACTGGGTAAGAGCGGGCAGGGTGGGCAGCTTGTGACTCTCATTACCACAGGTGAGGTCTCCCAGGAGCTGCAGCCCGACAACATCCCTGTCTTAACGGACTCGTGTTGAACAGTGTGCAAGGAGCAGGGGCAGCACTCATGAAGAACAAGTCCCGCTCGGATCCTCGCAGGCCATGCAGCGCAGCTCTGCCCTGCCCTGCACTCCACGCATCCCGGGTCCGCCCCACTGGTCTTCCTGCCCATTCGCACTGCTGGCGAAAGTGGCAGCGGGCTGGCCACGGGCCCTGCGGCTTGTCCCAAGCCCTTTCCAGGATCCTTTCCCAGGACCTCAGTTGTGTGCTGTAGGCCTCAGGCTGGCAGCATCGCCATCTTGTGATGCTAGTGCGGGATGGAGGCGGCATTCTTCCAATGGTGCGATTTCACACCGCTTAATTCTTCTAATAACTAAGGGTGCAGCCCTAAGGAGTTTTGACAGAAGGGTGCAGTTCTGAAAGCATTGCTGGCCAAGGCGAGCTGGAAGCCGTAGGCTCCCTTTCTGTCTAAATTTGCATCGGATTGAGCTAAATTTGCATTGGTGGGAAATCAGTCTTCCATCTCAGCTACAGCAGCAGGCATGGGTAGGCAAAGGATGCAGGAGGAGACTAACCTCTGTCTCTGCCCCCCCCCCCTTTGTTACCTGGGTGGTGGCAGCAAGGCAGGTGTGCGCAACGGTGCAAGCTGGAGGCTTTCAGGAGAAGGGAGCAGGAAGCAAACCATGCAGGAAGAATGTTTCAGGGACAAAGGAGTGAGACATGTAGCCATATACCTGGGTCCCTACAAGATTTTCTGCTCCCGTAAGTTCCCATCCATCTGTTGAGATGGAGCCAGGAGGTCCGTCTTAGGGATCTATCTCCTCGGGATGAGAGGGGGATGCTGGCTAGAAGAAGGGCCTTCTGGCTGGTTGTGCCCACCTCTGGAACAGGGTCTCCAGAGAGGAGTGCCTGGCGCTGCACTGCTAGCAGTTCCCACCAGGCAAACACCTACCTTTTCCCCAGGTATCTTAACATTGGATTTTAATGGCTTTCTGGTTTTCAAATTGGCCCCATGTTGGTTTCAGTCAATTACAGCTTACACTGATTCATTTAAAGTTTTATATTATATTTTAATTTTGATATATTATCTTTATATTTGGATTATATTATTACTATATTTTGATATATAGTGTTTTGATATTTAGTGTTATGATAAATACATGTTAGTTTAGTATATGTATAGATATATTAGATATAACACATATATCTGATAGATATATTAGTTAATAGCTATTTAGTTTAGTTAGATATATATGTTTTGTTATTTAGTATTACGGATTTTAGAATGCTGGGTTGTTTTTATATTGTGAGCTTTGCAGAGAACCCAGATATGGGCTATTGTAGCAGCAGATGAATGAATGAATGAATGAATGAATGAATGAATGAAATGTAGGGTGGATTAGGCTGAAGTCAGGGCTGATTGGGTAGTCCTTTTTGGGTGCTCCCTGAGGGAAGTGGCCTTCCCGTTAAAGGATCAAAACCAGTGGTGGACCCTGTACAAGTCTTCCTTGGCAGTTCACATTCAAAATGGCAGACAAATGACCCCAGGTTGTGCATGGTTGAATGCGGGTGGCTCTGAAGCACGGGTGGTTGTGCCATGTGAACCAAGCTGCACCAACAAACCATGATTTGCTAACTAGAGCAACTGCAGTTTAAAGCTCTACAGCAAACTATGGGTTCTCTTTGTGGGGAGTCTGTGTTGAACAAATCAAGGTTTGTTAGTGTGACTTCATAGCAACTCATGGTCAACAGCAACAGCAGTTTAGGATTGCAATGCCTACCAGAGTGCCTCTTCCAACTGCGATCTCCCCAGGCGCTATGCCCAACCTCTGGGGCCTCCTTTGAGTGCCACCTCTGAGGGGAGTGTGGAGGGGGGCAGCCAGGGGCAGCACTTTCTTTATGGTGGCCCCCATCCATGGAATACCCTCCCCACTGAGACCAGCTGGCACTAAATCTGTCATCTTTTTGGCACCGGGTTAAGAGGGGCCTCTTTTCTGGGGCTTTGAAAGACTTCTTTGGCCACCCAAGGGTCTGAGGGGGATCACCAGGTGTTTCACAGAGTCGCATTTTTTGTTATTCCTCATTACTGTCTCTCTTTATTATTTGCTTTTAGCTGTTTAATTTTTTAAATTAATTTCCGAATATGTGATATTTTTGTTGTATTTGTCCATCTGTTTTTATGGACTGTGTAAACTGCTCAGAGAGATTTGATTGTGAGGTGGTGTGGAAATGAAATAAAAGAATGACAACAACAACGACAAAAACCTGCACCGAACTCATACTCAGGAGTGAGTGTGTGTTGTCGTGTTGCACAGACCCAGTCAGTTCTGATTAAAATCCAAGCTGAGGAAGCCACTGGGGGTGCTTGTGTGTCGCTCCTATTCAAGGCAAGGGGTGCAAATGGCTGAGGTTCAGTTTCAAGGGCCATTTATTCTGGAATTCCGTTCAAAATCACTGACAGGACCTTCTTTTGCTATCATGCTACTAGCAGGGGTACTAATTTTGGTATTCCAACAGTGTTCATTGTCCAATATTTTTACATAAGGTCTGAATCGGACCTACTGACTCAAGCAGATTTGCAATCCATCTCAAGGGAGAAGTTGGTTTTTCAATTTGTCCATAAGCTTTTCCCTGCATTGTGTGCCCAAATACGCTGGCTTCCAAATCCTGGCAACCCAGCAAGATCAAGCTTTCTGAGTTTAGTATGAGTGTTTAGCACCTGGAAAAAAGTAAACACACCCCATCTCTTTGTTTCTAGAAGATTTATTCAATATGAGCCATTAAAATATGTTAAAATAGGCATATATTAAGACAGAATAGCTGTAATTTTGATATGATTCCTTGCCATATCCCAGACAGTTAAGACCTGTTGTTTCCATTTGAAAGGATTCGGAGTGAAAATGACAATGAAAGTTAGGAGGTTTTTGAAGTCACTAGCCTGCTACTGGGGAAGCTTTTCCAGATTATGCCTTCTCCTTGGAGTTTTCCTTCTATGGTTTGCTATTATCTGGAAGCAAAACAAAGAGAAGTGCACCTATCAGAAGATGGAAGAACCTGAATTCGTGGTAGGTGACTCAAATAGTTGTGGGCATCATTTCAAAGGATGCATTTTTTGATAAAATGTCCCCTGGGGAAGTGTTGTTTCTAAACTATACTGAGGTCTTGTGCCCACAATAAAGATCTCACGAGGAAAAGCGCCAAGTATTGTTTGGAAACGAGCATCCCTTAGTCACAGTGGTTTCTCGTGATGCTCCAGTTTCGCTTCTGCATTTTTCAGCGCGCTCTCTCATTTGTGGTTTTGAAGAGGAGAATGAGCTATGCAATGACAACGAGGAAACTGGCGTTCTCCGGCTTCCTGTGTGTTTCC